GCTGGCTATTTATAGAGATTTGAAGAGGCTTGGATTGGTGGAGTTCTGGCCTTCTTCTCTGTAGCAGAAAGGTGAGGTAGCAACTTGCAGCAGAGGAGATTTGTTTATTCCGCAACTTGCCTAGTTGGCAAGTTGCAGTCTTCTCTTTGGCTGCTCCTTCTCTTCAGCCGCAATTTTATCACCTTCCTCTCATCATTGTCTTCTTCTTTAAGTCTTTTTCTCCGGCGCAGCTGCTCCAAATCCCAGCTACAAGTCTCTAATTCTTCATTCTTTAATCTTCAACAGCCCAATTAGTAGCAGTAGAAAACAGCAGCATGAGTAGCATGTTTCCTTCCATCATTGTGTCTCAGCCCCCAATTCAGCCCAATTCTGTCTTGCCTTTTCCTTCCGTGTTTCCTGCAATCACTTGCAACACCATTTTTCACCTGACTGCAGTAGTCAATCCATCAATTCAGCAGCAGTCGCAGCAGGTAAGTAGCATGTTATAGCTGCTTTTTTTTACACTTATGCTCCCTCTTTCTCTTCTTCCACTTGCAACAGCTATAACTTGCAGTGATGGCGAAACAATTCCTTCCTTTGGCAACAAGAATTCGGCCTTGGCTCTTTCTGATTGATAGCAGAAGAGCTGCCATTCTTCCTCCAAATTGAGTATGCTACAATAGATTCTTCCACTTACATCCATTTGCTATCAATCTTCCTTCCTTAGCAAGGATTTCTCCACTTGCTCCAGCTCTGATTAGTACTTCCAGTAGCTCCATTTCCATCTGCTCCAATTCCAGTCCCTTTTGATGCTCTTTTTGTAATTTGGTCCTCATTTATGCTGATTTTCTATATTGGCCCTTTGAGATACCTAAACTGCAAAATTATCCCAAAAGTAAACTAATCCTAACTAGTTGACACTAAATTATAAGTAGAAATGAGTAAAAATATTTCCAAAAAGGGTATATATTTTTGTGTCATCAGTACCACCACGACTCCACCAGAACGGTAAGGATACTTTTCACTTAGATCTGTCATTAGTCATTCCTGCCATCTGTTTTTCTTTCCGATGTACTCCTCTCTTTTTTCTTTTTGCATGCTCCTTAGTCACTTTCTCAATGGTTGATGGTTACATTTGTGTTCTACTTATTTTGTTTTGTTTTCTTAAATAAAATATTTGTGGCTTCTTTGTTTGGTCAGGATTCTCTAATTTTTTTTAATCATTGGAGTTTTTTGGGGTTTTTCTCCTCGTGATTCTTCTAATAATCTGATGGAATTGAAATGGTCAAATGAATACGTTTTTTAGTTCCCCGTTTTTCCCATTTATTTCCAGCCGATCATTGTGCTTTTAACTTGTTGGTGGTTGTGGCAAACTGTGATTTAATCTTACTTGATCAGTTTCAGTTTATAATTTTTGCTGGCAGTGGTGGACAGTCATCTGTATCTCTATGAACTAATTTTCTCTTTTTTCATGTTTTTCAGATGTCTCTATTTGATGATAACATTGATGATATCGAGGAGAGTGAGGATCACGAATGAGGAGCAGGGGCTTGAGAATATTGTATTGCCTTCTCTGCCTGATATTCCTGAGGATGAACCTCTCATGATCGATGTTGAAGTCGAAATGACGGGAGCTATTGAAGCTGGTTGTAAGCCTTCAGGCCAACACAGGGTAAATCGAAAAAGGTCTATGGTATGGCCTCATTTCACTTCTTTTACTGATGCAAAAGGTGAAGCATGGGCTGCATGTAAGTACTATGATACTAAGTATAGGGCTGAAAGTAGAAAATATGGAACAAGTAACCTTCATAGTCATTTGTTGGTTTGTAAGAAGTATTTCTCTTTGAGCCATGATCCTGGTCAAAGTAGGTTAATTGTTGAAAGTAAGGATGGAAAACAAGCTGATATAACTAGTTGGAAGTATAATGAAGAAGAAATCAAAGGCATTTATTTATATGTTCATTGTCGATGAGCTTCCTTTCATTTTTGTTCAGAAAAAAGGGTTTAGGTATTTTTTACGAAAGTTGCAACCATTGTTTGTTTTCAAGTGTAGGCAAACTGTAGCTGTTGATTGTTATAAGTTGTATTTGGCTGAGAATAATAAATTGAAACTTGCAAAAGAAATGTTAGTAGGATATGTTTGACCAACGATACTTGCACTTCTTTGCAATAAATTAATTATATGTGTCTTATTGCCCATTATGTTGATAACAATTGGAATCTAAAAAAGAAAATCTTAAGTTTCTGCCCTATTTCAAATCATAGAGGTGTTGATATTGGAACATCAATTGAGGATTATTTGTTAGATTAGGAAATTGAAAATAGGTTTACCATCTCTGTTGACAAAGCAGGTGCTAATGATGCTGGTATAGAATATTTGAAAGAACAATTTGCTCATCGAGAAAAATATCTTTTGGTTGCAAAATGGTTGTATATTTGTTGTATGGCTCATGTAATGAATCTTGCATTTTAGGATGGTTTGAATCATATTGGTAAATATGTTGAAAAGATTAGAGCTGCAGTAAAATATATTAGGCAGTCTCCCAAAGAATTGCAAAGTTTAGGAAATGTGTTGAAATCGAAAAGTGTAATAGGTCTAAGAATTTGGTTTTAGATATTTGTACAAGTTGAAATTTCACATATTTGATGCTGGAAACTGCTCAAATTTATGGAAGAGCATTTAAGAGGTATAAATTAGGTGAACTACACTATAGGGACACTCTGAAACATGTTCATGGGGTGCCAAATTCAGGACATGGGCTGCCTACGTTATTGAATTGGGTAGAAGCTAAGAGAGTGGCTGGTCTTCTACAACATTTTTACGAGATTACGTTGAAGGTATCTCGTACAAAATCTGTCTCTTTAGATCCCTTTTTTGATGATATTACTTGCATTGATGTGCTATTGAAGAAAACCATTAATGAAACTATAGATCCTGAATAGCAAGTTATGGCTTTAATGATGAAATTCAAACTTGATAAATATTGTGGTGACATTGAAAAGATGAATGTTGTTCTTTACATGGCCTGTATTTTAGATACAAGAAATAAATTGTATTACTTGGAAATTGTTTTGTGTGAAGTGTATGGAAAAGTTGATTGGGGGGGGGGGAAAGAAATTGTTAAAAGTTTTTTGTATGAGTTGTATGCGGGTTATATTAATCATGCCTCTGATTCTAGTTTTAGTTCACCTTCCTCCACCCTTGAGAGTAATTCTTCTCAATATGCTGCATCGGGGAAAAGAGCTTCCCAGATAGACATTGAACCTTCAAAAGATACTTAGGGATAAATTTAGGGCAGAGCTGTTGAAGAAGAAAAATTTGGAAAGTGGTGGAAATAGTCAAAACTCATATTTGGACAAGTATTTAATGGAGACAACTGAATTAGGTGGTCCAACATTTGAGATTCTGATCTGATGGAAGATTAACAGTCCAAGATTTTCGATCTTTTCTTTGATGGCTCGTGATATTTTAGCAATCCCTATATGTACTGTGGCGCCCGAATCTGTTTTTAACACCAGTGGGAGAGTATTGGATGGTTTTAGGAGCTCATTAACTCTGAAGACTGTTCAAAGCTTAATATGCGCTCAAGATTGGCTTAGGAAGGTTGTGGATTCAGAAGCTGTTGAAGAAAAATGGGAAGATCTCATAAAAATTGGAGAAGGTCAACTGTACTAAATGGCATTTGTAATTTTCAATTTGCATTTTGATATTTTCAGCTATTTAAATTTATTTGTGGTTACAGTGATCTTTTTTCATGTGATGAAATAGGGGGAACAAACTGAGCTAGGATGTGGCTATGGAATGATCAACTAGATTGAACTACAATTGTAGGTAGATTCTAAACTTTACTTATCAAACTGAATTTCTAAATTTGCTGACTGAAATTTTGAGTTTGTGGCTTGAATTTGCAGACTTAATTTCTAAATTTTTGTGTTTGCAATTCACAGATTGCCAAGTTGAATATTGAAGTGCAACTGTGAAGACGAGTGAAGTTAAACTGTAAAGACTGAAAATATGTTTTCTCAAATGGAACTTTGTTTTAATGCTTTGGATCTTTGAATTTCTGTTAGTGTTTTGGTCCTTTTGGATCCTTGAAGTCTTGATTCTTGAACAGTTTGTGTTCTTGAATTTCTGTTTTTAATTTGTTCCTAGCAATGGACTGTAGTGGACTGTGGACTTGTGATGAAATTCTTTAATTTGTTGTAATGTTGTGGGCTGTGAATCACAATTTGTCAAATTTATTGTGGAATGCTGAATACCGGAACGGCGGAATGAGACCATTTGTATTGTGATTTGTGAACATTTGACATTTGTGATCTTTCTTTTTTTTTTTTTTTTGTTGATTTAAGTTCAAGTTTAGATTTATAGTTGAATTACCATTTGAATGACCGATTCAATTTGTTCAGATCAGGTTGTATTGTAATTGTAATATTGTGTTGACACTCAGTCTCAGTCAATCACTAAAGTCAAATTGTCTTGATTCAGTTGAACTGAAATTGAACCGTTAAACCCGTTTATTTATTCAGTTGGTTTGGTCCGGTTCTTTAAGAGTTTGTACGGTTCGATTTTGAGCGGTTCTTGTGAATGAAAAAATCCGATTAATCCAACCGAGATTCATCCGAACTGACCAAATCGTCTGATTTGACAGCCCTACAAAAAAGGTGTAGATTGTCTTCTTCATACTGAAAGCACCTGGGGCAAGTTGGATCCACCGGTACCCCTCGTTTGCTCAGCTCCTTCCTAGTAGAATGGGCATTGAAAAGAGCTCTCCAAAGAAGGAATTTTTGTTTTGACTGCACTGTTGAGTTCGAAAGCCTTTTCCAAGCTAATTTCCCCATATTCAGAGTTGCTTGATCAATTGCAGGCAGTTGATTTTCAGTATTAAAGGCCAGGTAATAACCAGTCTTAACTGCGTAATTTCTATGATCTGTGTGTAGCCATTTTAGTGTCTCCATGAGCCCTTTACTCCTGCGTTTTACATTTTCTTTTTCGGCATTAATAATTAATTTTGATACACCTTTGGCACAGAGTTAAAAATTAAGACTGGAATGTTTTAAAAAGTGAACATGTAGCGGTACTTCAACAAGGCCAAATAACGACTACATAACTGTGTTGCAAATGTATCTCTTCGTCTGTTCTGGTAATCGCTGAATTACATAGACTTGTAGTGAAACTAGAAAAATGCGAATTAGAATATGCAACATGCTGCTAAGGGAGTCCAATACAAAGATGGATTGAGACAAAACTTCATAGGGTTCAAGTCACCACAAGAGACTCGTGAGGAACATCCCAAGATCAGCTGGAGAAACCAATTTACGCAACAGTCTGGAGCGCCCTCTCAAAGTTCTCTTCTGCAGATGCTATACGTTTGACAAGTAAGTGGTTTGGGTGCGCTAGTTTCAACTGGCTGTAAAAGAATAAACACATGAAGACCGGTATTAACGAATTTTCAAATTCGTAGCTTTCAATGAGGACATGATATGGGGCAATTACAGTATACTATCATTCAAATCGCATCCAGACAATGGGCAAAGATTAGTTTTCCTTCACTTGAACAATAAATGCACAAAGTTTGCAAGAGAACATTTTAAAACAGACCATTAATAATCGAAACAGGCTTAACGGACCCGAAAAGTTCAAACAGAATCCTGGGAAGTAGGAATGCAGCCCGGACCTCCAAGGTCTATGAAAGCTCTGACCAGATTATCAACTGATCATGATGGAAAAAAATTTTCCTCATCATATAACGTAAGAAAAAGCTAAAGTGGTCAAGTGATCTAATCTGAATATGCTTGCCAACTTCGCCAATCATTTCAGTTCAAACAATTTACTTTTCATTCTCTTAAACCACAGATCAAAGCAAGTCTAAAGAGAATTCCATTTTCCCAAGTTGTCTTCATCAATTTAGAGAAGACCTTTAGTCAACTATTTTTAATAATATTTCAAAATATTACATTCAGCAGATCATACATAGTAGGGAAGCTAAAATTGCAGTTTATGTAATTTCTTCTGCATTTAATGTTTTCTAGTTTAGTATCCAGGAAACTGACAGCTTCATCGTTCTTCTTTCAGTTTTTAGAACAGAAGATCAATCTAGTATTTAGAAACTTTTGAAGGACTAATTTTCCAGTCTCAGCCCACAGGATCTAATAATATTGAAACTATACAAGAAAAAAGTATGCAAGCAAATCATAATCTCATGATTTTTTTATAGCAAGATATGTGAAGAAAACCTAAATCATTGATGTAACCAACCAACCAAGGTCAAGTAAACTTTGCACCTGCTGTCCCAAAACAGATAGAGAGGACCCTAAACATTAATGTTCGAAAAAATCCATGTGGCCGAAATCTGTTTTACCTAGAGGATATCATTTTAATTCGATAATATTTGAAGTCACTATCAATGCCCTAACTCTTTACCTGAGGAATCGAGAGGCAGATTTTCCAAGGTGGAGACAACACACAACCAGATTCGCCAGTGTTTCAGGGTCCTTCGCATCCTGCACATTAAAATTCAGTTATCCTTCGAAGAAAGAATGAAAAGTCTATTTCCTCCAGGAACTGTGAAGGTGAACAACAAAGACTTTGTACTCATATTCCAAGCAAGTCAGTTAGTATAGGCAAGAAACAACAAAAACAAATAGATGGGTAGCAATAGAATCAGATGTAAGCTGTGTATGTGCGGTAGACAAGAATACTTTCTGCGAGATGCTTTTCACTCGACATAAATAAAATTCTAACAGGATTCAACGAAATCTTGCCTTGTTCAAGGCCTCAAGTAAAAGTGTTTCAGCCTCACTAAAATTTCCCATGTGCATGCAGCAAACAGCCCTTCCATTGAGGATGAGACATGTCATCTGATACTTCTCAGCAAAGTCTTGGTATATAAGATATGCTTCCTGTAACTTTCCACCACCCTAATCAAGGAGATCACATACATGTAAGTCAAACAAATTGATACTTCCCATTCAACAAGATAATTTCAGAGAATAATAACAGTACCACTGCTATGTTGTGCCACGCATTTGCTAGTTGAGTTAAAGTGTGATCTTCATCAATTTGTTGCATTGCCCTAAGTTGCTTCTCAGCAAGCTCTGATCTGTGCATCTTGAGTAATATTTGAACATTCAGAGCATTCCTGCAAATCAATTTTTAAAAATTCAAAGTTTATAAGAACAGAATTTCTATCTTATTAGTACCAAAAAGAAAAAGAAAAAGTTAAGTGCTTGTAAGTATGTGTGTGAGCACGTAAGAAATCATGTGGAATCACAACACATGCTGAAAATAGACTTTAGCATCAACATCCAAGTAAGCAACACGTATCCACATAAACAAAAAGAACGAAAGGTAGAATTACTAGAACGCATGTCGGAGCAGATAAACAATCATGAAAGAATCTTGCTTGTGTTGACAATGAGCTACCTTCTTTAATCTCAGAAGACGTAAGACTTCTACTGAAATAAAATACGAGGGTTGAAAGACATAAAAGAAGATTTGGGGAGTATCTACAAGATAAATAGAAGGAAATACATATTCACTCTCACACAGGAGAAGAATGGCTTACAGCTCCATTGTTCCCCCTGCATTAGTATGTTTCAAAGCTTCACCGTAGTCCTCCTCATGCATGAATATGATTCCGGCAATAAGCCTCAAAATTGGATTATTTCCAATGGCTGGGTCTCCTAACCACTCCTGAAGACTCGAGATTGTTGCTTCCTATTTGAAAAACACAGGCCAACAAAATCAGAATCAGTTCATCGCCTCAGCCATTCACCAGGATATGAAAGGAAATCAACATAGAAGCCTATATAATTATGGGCAGAAGGATATGCAACCTTCAACTGGAATTAAAAATCCTAGAATCTGTTCTCATCCACCACATTCGTCATAAATATGCAAACACAAAACTTATATTAAAAGATGTGCCATTTAACCAAGAGGAGAGGCTTCTTGAGGCTTCATACCAATCTATTTCTACAAAAGAGGAAGTAATCAAAACAGCCTTTGTTCTTCATTAAGCCGTCCATGTAAGACTAGAAAATATCCGAGCATGAGTGCAAAGATTAGAAGCCAAATCCTCAGGGTTCACATAAGTAGGACACCACGAAAGACCAGAAGCAAAAAACCATGCGGAAATCAACAGAACACCGTAACTTCAAATGGTGGTGAACAATTTTCCATTCAGGAGAGGGGGAATAGTTTGAATGGCAATAAGATTCACAAAATAAATTATCGAGTTGGTAGAAATCATCAACTCAAAGCTATATTACAGTGTCCTGAATTGATTAAGCTCCACTCGATCTTCAGCTAAAACCATTTAAAAAGTTCAACTGACTTTACCAGATTGTAAAATTCAATCATCCAAGCAGGAGATATCATAATGTTCACAGATTCCAAGACAAGACATTGTATGTAAAGGCTGCATGAGTAACAGGACAAAGATCGTGCATGCATTTGTCCTCTTTCAACTATAGCAAAGCACATTTATCCCAACAATTCCCCCGGGATGGTGAAACATTCTTAACTAACCTAAGCATAAATCCCTTCAGGAATCCGCATCATCATATTAGTACCTTAAGCTACATCAACCTGCATTCTGAAACGTACCAAAAACAATTCCTCCATCCATAATAAAAGTCAAACTTCTACAATTAGAGTATTAAACTCATAAGGTTTGTATCATCTGATTATCGTTATAACACTGGTAACTGAATGTAATAGTCCTTCACAATATTAATATTTCAACTTATAAAACTAATCATATATATAGTCCAGTTTCTGAAATTTGGTTTTAGCTGGAGTACTATTAAGGGACAGAGGCAGTATCTTTCCGATTGTTCACGGAATATCTTCCACTGACATATAAGCATAATTTCCCAGTAGAATCGTTATCAGTTATCATATTTGTACCATCTATTCAAATACATATATATATATATATTCCTATTTATATTTGACAAGTTAAGAGATTTTTTATAGATTTATCGAAAGAGTCAAATGGCACGAACCATGCCAAGTACGATAAGCAACTCAGTTGATTCAGTAGGAATTCTCTAGTCAAAGAGTGAAAAGATTAATATAAATAGTTTACAGCCTCATGCAAGATATGAATACCTCAACAACCAAATCAAGCCCATAGTTTTCAACAGGAATCGTTCAGGAGTATAATGCCACAACAATTTTTTCAGATTCTTATTAGAAGCTGAAGCAGGTCTTATTTTGTATAAAAATTTGTGAGGCAAGTTTAGCAAACTCAACTACCCTCCACCCGTTGCAGTACTCTACCAGACAGCTAATGTTTCTTCGTTGTTTCCCAAGCCATTTGCTTCCAGGTTACTTAACATTAAGGCTGACTCAGCATGGTGATCAATTTAGAAAACAGATTCACGTCAACATTGCACTAAGTATCACATTTTCTAGCACATCACGGCAATCAAATAAATAATCATATCGCCTATACCCAGATCATCCAAAGAGAAACTCGAATCTACAATCCAAACAATCCGATTTTCGAACAACATTCTACATCAAGCACTTTGAAGCATTTGTAAAACTAGATCACTTCATTTCCCCCCCCCCCCTTCAATTCCAGACAATAACAAAGGATAAAATTTAACAGAACAAAAAACACAATTCACCTTCGTATCGGGGCTGGCAAGGTAGAGCGCGAGCAATTTGACGGCCTGGAGAGGCGTGGCAGCTGATGAATCGATCTCATTGATCACAAGCTGTAAAGTTCCAAACCGAATCATCACAAAGAAATTCCAAGAAATTGAAGAGCGAAAAAATATTCATGATTGAGTGAAATTAGGTTTTTACCTGATAACTGCCGAGGGCAATGTAAGATCTGTAAACAAGAGAATCCCTCTCAATGGAGTCTTCTTCGGAGAGATTGGGGATGTCGCTGTTGTTAATGGCGGCCTGGTATGCACCAATGTAGAAATTGTTCCGGAGACCGAATAACGGGTCGGGTCCTGAGTAAGCTGCGGCCATCTTCAGCTTCTGTTCAGTTTTGCTAATCGGGTTTCTGGACTGAGTTTAGTTGGGTGAGTTTAGATCTGCAGCGCAAAGGTGAGAAGAGAAATAGAAAAGAAGACAGACTTCCTTATTTATGAGGAGACCTAAAAATTACATTATCACTCCCTTAATGTTTCAATACTTGTCAATTTAGTCATCTAAATTTTTACGAGCAACACACCTCGTCGACTTCCCTAGCTCAAGTCTCAACTAAGGGTGTGTTTTGATCGTTTTCTTAATATGTTTTTAGATAGTTTTTGTATTAGAAATTTAAAAAGGTCTATTAAAAATATAAAAAGATATTTTAGAATAGGGCACTTGTTATTATACTATTATTCTGGAAAAACCATTGAAAAAACAAACAAAACAGAGGCTTTCGAAGGCTGAGAAATTGACCTTTAATAATTCGTAAACACGTGCATTACACCAACTTTAGTACGAATCTCAAAACTAAAACGTAAATCTTTTTTTTTATTTGACAGAAATAATAATATTATATTTTCAATAAATCAAATCTCAAGAATTGAAATGTAGCTATAGTATAATAGAAATTAGACTAAAAATCAAATGAACGATATTCGATTTAATTGCATTGCCAATAGCTCGGTATTAACTAGTAAACTTTAATGAGATGGTGCAATAAATTTGAAATTGTATCTTATTACAGAGAGTAATGATAGGTACAAGAAAAAAATGACAATGAAAAAAGACAAGAAATGATGTGTAAAGATCTTAACTATGTCCTATCCTTAAATGCATAAACCCTGTTTGAAAAGTTTTAACAATGAACAGGTGAGATCATGTCCTTGTAAATTTTCCTTGTCATTTTTTCCTTGTACCAGTCATTACTCTATTACAAAATCTTGTCACTCCACCTAAGCACTCCCTTTGGCCATAGTAGTAGTAAATATAGAGGGTTATAAGTTTTTTTTGGAACTTCCTAATTTAACCAAGTTGATGCAACCGGAGCTAAGGCTGTTCTTTTGAAGAAAATCGACCCGAACCGAACCGTTATTTTAGCTCGGTTCGGAAACGGGTCAATTTCTTTTGGATCACAAATGGTTTCGGTTCGATTCAGTTCGGGTTAAGTTTCGGGTCTAAACCAAATTGACTCGAAATGAACCATTTTGCTAGTGATAACATCATCAGAAGTGACGATGACGTCATCACGCCAGAGACGGTCACTAGCTGCCAGAAAAAATGAATTTCCGGCAAAGTCGCCGGAAGTTGTCGCCGATGGCGACCGTCAGCGGTGGTTAAAGGTGGTATCGGCAGTCAACGACATCATTATTAAAATATAATTATTTACTTTTTGGCTTTAGATTTTTTCGATTCAATTTGGATATTCTTTTGATCTGAACCAATCCGAATCATACCAACTATTAAAATCTTCGATCTGAACCAATTCGAACCGAAATTTAGATCGGTTCGATTCATCGGATCGACCCGAACCACGGTTCAAAAAGACCAGCCCTAACCGGAGTGGAAGTAATTTTTTTGGAGCAGGCAACATATCACCAACAACTTTCTCATTTGGAAACAAAACCCCTCGCTTGTATTTTCTGACCGCATTGTAAATTATCACCAGTCGAGCATATTCTTTTCCAGGGCGCATCCTCGGTCCTCCTCCTCGTGGGTTTCTGTTTTTTTTTTTTTTTTTTTGAGGAGGCTACTCCCATTTTCACTGGAAATAAAGCAACAACAAAAAAGTTTTCAATACAAAGTGAGAGGTTTAAGAGGACCAGTGTAAAATCATACTTATACACACATCTCTTACTTTCTTGCTAAAACTTCAGTTGTCGGAACCAATCAAGTCAATTAATTAAATTCAGTGCAGTACCATGATTAAAACAAAAGATATAGTATATACATACGATTTTGACTTGGTAATAAAATTCGACCATGAATCTACAATTTTATTAAAAAAATAATAATAATAATAATATGATGGATCAAAACAACACAACAAACAAGAATCGTGACCTAAGAGAGTTGACCTTAGGTCAATGTAGGAAATGATCGATATTCATTTTACCTGCTCTAACTTTTTCATAAATATCCGGTCGTTCTCCGACATATTTCATGAATAAAGTTATGGCAGTAGCAAGTAGCAACGGTACTATATCCAGCCACAATCAAACCCATGATTTTGTTAGCAATCTCAGCATCAACCATATGTTTCCCACTGGAATCAGTAACAAGAATCAAATGAGCCAATATATCACGCATTGTCACTCCTTTAGCCATGGCTTCTTTCTTTCTCTTTTTATTTATTTTTTTTTTGGATAAAGTTATTCTCTTTAATGATACTTACGAGTTCCTTCCTAATCACCTTAGCTGCCTTATTAGCCTTGTATAATATAGTGCCCGGAAAATTCAACATGATGGAATGCATCCCTAATGTAACATCATCGAATTCATTCACGAGATTCGCAAATTTTTTCTCCACAATAGTATCGGTATTGCCTAGAAATTGTTTGCATGAAAGAATTAATGTAACAATTTTTTACTAAGGATAGACTTTTACTTCATTTTTCCCTTCACAATGGACTTTCAAGAGTTCATTGGAAATCGCATCCAATAAAAAAAAGGTAACACGAGTATCAGATTGACGCGATCTTACATAATAAATAACATAAATATTTACTCGTGTGTGTGAGTACGTGAGCGGGTCAAAAAAGTGTTAAGAATTTTTATTTTTTTTTGGTAATATCGGTTAGCCATAACAAGTCCCTAGAGGTGCCAATAGGCAAAGTGAGAGTCAACTCCTTACTTTTTTTTTTGAGTGGAGGGTGAACTCATGACTTTCTCTTGGAGTAAGGGGTTTTTTACCACTGAACCAACTCCTCATTCGCAAATTGTTAAGAATTGATTAGATATAATATGCAACTAATTTTCATCTCGGGCAAATGCCAAGCACCTTCATTAAGAAATTTCTTTTACTTTATGGTAAAATTAATATTGATTTAGATTTTTAAAAAAATACAGTAATTTAAATTTAAACGTTGTGAAATCTAATATCTCAAACGTTATGTGGAGCATTATTGGTTCAATGGGAATGCAATTTGAAGTTGAAGTTGTCCCTATGCATGGTAAAGATGAATTTGAAATTCATTTATCTTTATCAAAGGTTTTGGGATGGAATGAATAGGGATATGAACATGGTAAAGATTCAGAGGTATGATGTGAAAATATCATAAATGACAATTAATTATAATTTTTGAATCCATAATTTATTGTAAGTTTTTTTTTTTTTTAGGTAAAATGTGAATTATACTCATTTCTGCAAAACTGACATATGTACAAATTTACACCAAGTTCCAGATCACAAAGCCACCTACTAGCTCAACCAACAACCTCACTCTACTTTAACATAACCAGAAACATAACTATGCTATTACATTAAGTCAAGCTTTTGCAAGAACTTTCTATCCCTAGAGCTGACTGCTCTGCTATTGCTCCAAACTCTCCACTTCAGCTCTCTTTTTGATCTCTTGCACAATCCACTCTGCTGTTCTACGATTCCCATCATGCACCTGTTGATTTCTATTTCGGTATAACTGATAATATGCAGCCCCTACAACAACAAACAGTACCTTCTGTTGCACTGGTCTTCCCCTCCACATATATAGTAATCTCCTCCACCTTGTAACCTGGAAACAACCATTTGGAACCTGCAGCCAGCTTTTGATTCTCCCCCAAACTTCACTAGCAAAACTGCACTGCTCAAAAAAATGCTCCTGAGTCTCAATCCCATTCCCACACAGAGAGCATGAACCATCAAAGATTTCCAAACCAAATTTCTTCAACCGATCCCTAGTGAGCAATCTGCCCAGCCAGCATATCCACGCATTAAACCTATGTTTTGGTACACTATAGTTGTTCCAAATGATCTCTGAAGTCCTCAGTTTTACACCTTTTTGTCTCATCCAATTATAACCAGATTGTATTGTATACTTCCCATGTTTCAGAGGTAACCACCTGCTGTAAGTTAAAAGGATTATTATTATTATTCGTAGGGAGAAATTTTTGAGCGACGATTGATTCCTATATTTAATGTGCAAAGAATTTACAAAATCTTGGTCGCTCATGTCTGGATCTTATGTTGATTACTTATATCTCCCGAAAACATTGTCTCGAGTGGACTTTTACTTTTAAAAAGTTTTACAATCTAGACAATCATTTTGCGCAAAAAAAAAGAAAAAAAGGTCACACGAATAAAATTTAAGAAATAAAAAGAGTATTTTCTTTGGCCTAGCTTTTGCACAAGGTTTGGCACAAATTCAAGTCTCCAGCTTCTCAAATTATCCTCAAACCTTACTGTGAAAATCAAACACTCTGTAAATAGAGGAAGACAATCATAATGTATGGAAGGATTTGAAACCCAAATCCTAAAGTCATTAAGATTATAAAAGTCATACATTTCTGAACTGAAACTCGAGACGAAATCTAGAATTTGGAGAACATGAATCCTATAAGAAGATTCCAAAGATCCTTTACAAATGAATTCCATCAGGAAGTTTATAGCGAAAACCCCAAAAAACCAATGTGCGCCAAGAGTTATCGTGCTAACCGTTTTTTGCTTCAACCATCGCATTATTGTCCACAACCCGCAGCCCATTATCGACAGCTATGACCGCTGTGCACCTGCAATTTTGTTGAATGTTACAATAAGTAGACAGAACGATGATTTACCAGAAGTAATGATAAGTGTTGACACTTAAAAGAGTAAATATACTTATCATCAAAATAAGTAACATTCAATCTTTGCTATGTGGCATAAAAAGTTTCAGTTCCCCCAGGTTCTCATTGCAATCTTAAGCGACAAACAAATGCCCAAATTGAGGCTAAGAGGTTGGACTGGGTGAAATAAAACTCAACACAATTAATTGATGTTTAGTACACAGGTGGTACACAATAAATTCATCATTTGAAATACATTAAGGATCGTGACTGCTACATTTCTCCATTTGATTTTAACAGAAGACCGTAAAGTTTGAACTTTCAAAGCTGAGAAACCATAAGTGTCCAGCTCTAAAGATTGAAGAACCTAAATTAGTATACTACCTGAACTCTGGATAATGATTGTAGGAAAACTGAACATAAACACAACTCACGGTTTTCGATATATGACTCCATGATCTACAACACCATCAACTTGCTCAAGAGTTTCGGCTACATCAGCTGCAAAAGAAAACAAAAAGTCAAAAACTAACAAAATTATGACCAACAGAAAGAGAATAAAACTGCAGAATAAATTATACCAAGACTTGTGATTGGAGATGTAAATATGACATCAAGGACATTATGCCCTTCTTTTGTCAAAATTGGGTAGTCACCTCCAAGTGGGTCTGCAATCCCTATGGATGGCCGCCTCCATACCTTTATAAAATGAAAAGAAAAGAGGGAAGGAACCACTTAAACGTTTGCAAGCAATGAAATCAGGCAAAAATAGATATTCATTGGCAACAAGTCAGCTTGAGTAGCAAGGAATGTCAAACGAAAATGACACTTGCAGAATGTCTATGACAAAAAGTGAAAGGAAATAGAGCATTTCAGGGCCCAAATTGCGAGTTTCCCTCATGTCAATTTTACAATGCAGTGATCCAAACATTTTTAAGCATCTTCATCGTGCACCTCCTGGATTGCAATAGTACAGTACTAGAGAAGGGATTCACATAGTCCATCTGCTGTACCGAATGTGTTTTGTTTATAACCAAAACAGATACACTGTTCTTAATATAACCAGGTACTGGTTTATTTCCTTCAAAACTTATCTTTGCTATTTGGTCATTGAATATCATCATAATGTCTTAACAAAACTGTCACATTTTAAACAGGCCACACTCAAGAGAATAAATGAACCCCAAAATATATGAATTATGCTATAATCCATAAGACCTCGGCAGATAGAACAAACAGGAGGAAAACTTCCTTTTTAGATTTACGGCGAGTGTTCGGAGATGCTATACTATTTACTGGCTACAATACCATGAAATTATTTTCCAGCTGCCAAGTCTCTCCATGATTTTTCTAGACTCTATCTTACAAGCCACTCATTAGAGTAGTATCAGTCATAGAAAAGATATTTGCGTGCGTTAAAAAGGACAAAGGAATATGCATGACTCCATCCACCTATACAGCTTTTGCAACATGGATAATGCTAAAAAAAAAATGTCATCTTCATCTTTGCTATGAACAACCCTTTTGGACCATTTTGCTATACCATTTTATTGCTAGTTTTGAGAAAATGCTGTAGGTTATAGTTTTCAGAAAGAAATCATTATTGGTGATGCTTGAGAATGTTATATCCTTCCCCTTTCTTATACTACACAGTCAGCTGACGTACCAGTTCACAGAAAAAGTCAACTGGAAGGTTAGAGTATCGAAGGAAATTTTGATGGACTTCAGGCATACCTCAGCATCACCTAAGAACAGATCATCAATTGCTTCAGCAGTTTCCATCCAGTTAAACTGAAAAACAACTTAAATTATAAGGCATCAATTTCTGGTTCCAGGCTTCATCTCCATCATATAATATGAATTTTACACTACTTATAGCATACAGGCTGGATGAAAACTGGGATTGCACCATCTAGACCACTTTTGTACTGTGTTTCATTCACTATGAATACAAGCTTCTTTGCAGCGCCAAGAACAGTCTGCAAGGAAAAGGTGACCAGAGCATCAGAGAGCAGAAATAAAGATGCAGAAAACCAAGTGAAAGGAAATAAAAAAATATCATGGGATCTGTTGCAAATTCAAAGTTCCAGTTCGGCTCATGAAGATCTAAATAAGATAACTAGCAATCAACAGCTATCAGAATGACCATTTTTGCAATTTGTTTATAGTGCACATCTTCATATAAATAAGATGACAAAATCCGACTGACCTTTTCATAAATAATCGACTCCTCACCCATCAATTTTCGACGGCCAATGACAACAGAAAGTGTCTCTTCTTCAATAATATCAGCATCACAAAAAGCTACGTCAATCTACAAGACATAAAACAAGAGATAAACCCAGCTGAGTTATATATGACTAGATATAAACGGGAAAATGCATAGTGCTATACTGAAATCTATTTTCATTCAAGAATACATTTTACTTCTAACTGTTTCTGAATAGATTTCCCAATGCTACATGAAGATCAGATATATTGTAAATTTCATGCTCATGAAACAACAAACCATAGAGAAAGACAGATATTTTGGAAGCTATTCGTGCTATATACATCGAAGTGGACACAAAAGGCCAAAGTAAGTACAACTACTAATTCATCAATTAAACATTGTGCCCACTTTTGAGCTTCCTTCATACTGTTCCAATGGGATGCCAGCCTTAGCTGCCTCACTTGCACTACCAACACATCTGCATTGGAGAACTACTGATTACTCCGAATGGAAGAGCTACTTCTCTCTTAAACCAAGAGAGAAATGGAATGAAAACATCGAGCAAAAAATAATGCCCTATGTGATAAATACATTCTAAGAAACTTATGTAACGACACAGCTCAAAACCACTGGCAGAGAAACTTAAGACCATACACATGTCCTTCCATGCTAATTACTCATATTTTCCACCATAAGCTAGGTTGCACTCAGAGACTTAGTAGGAGGCATGCTCTTATCTTTTGACACCAATAAGAAACATACTTTAAGCCTATCTCACAAACAAGTATAACGAAGAGAATGAAGTTAACTTTTCTGTAATTTAGAGCCTATGGACAAATTTCAAAAAATTAAAAAAAAAAGAAGGATCCAGACAAAATTAGAGAGAATGATTAAACAATCAAGAGAAGAAAACAGTCATCAGAATTATAATATAAGAAAATGTACTCGTATTTACGTGGGTATTCCAGTTATATCTTTTAGTTTACCAGCCTTAAGCTGCAGACCCAGATAATTGATGGCTAATCCAGAAGCAAAACCAGATCCAAGGCCAACCAGCATACCACTTTGGACAAAGGAATCTACCTGAAAGGAGCAAAGAATTTGATTTAGCAGAAGCTTATAGTTGTAGTTCACGATCAGAAAAGAACTTCATAAACTCAAGGACTTCACCAAGACCAATCTATTAGTTAGGCAAGGGGCCAATACTGCAAGAGGACAAGTATCAGCGTACGTCACATAAGACAACATACAAATGTTGCATATCTCTCAGAAGTAGTCTAATGTAATGACAGTGAAAAACATGGCCACCTTACAACTACATAAGCTCATGTAGTATCAATAACATAGATGAGAAACATAAACTGGGCACTGGTATAGCTGTGTCAAAAGTGCAGGCCAGATCCTTACTTGGAGGCAACTGTAATAGAGTAAATTTCAATGATCGAATTGCTCGCTATAAATCGAAACTTGGTCTGCTAATTGTAAACGATGTTAACAGAAACACAAAGCAATAGTACCCTCTAATAAAACATGTCATACTTGAAAGTTCCACTGTCGGATGATTCAACCAGTTCCATAATGCAGGGCAAGGTTCACAAGAAGCACAATACGACTAGAGCTTCAGTATCAACAACTACGACACTTTCTATATGTGTGAGATTCACCAGACTAATGGAACTAGCTCACAGAATCTAACAAATGGGTCAGAGATGATACCATGAGGTTCAATATTCAGCACCATAAATATGAAACAAAGACATGAATTAAATTAGAAACTGACGATAATGTAACCAAGCTTTCACCAATCAGATACTGAAGAACAGCTCACACTTGATAGCGAGAAGGGTAAAGAAAGTAGCTGTATCCAAATCAACTCTACATCAGAAATCGGCAACTCAAGAACTAAATATATAGATAATATTAACAGCAGTCTTGGCAAAACATGGAAATCATAATCATTCCGGTCAGGCTGCCCACATATGCTCTAACGTTTGGTTCGAGAGTATATTTTCAGTTCAATATCCTTACCTCAAGCAGTTAGAAGGCAAGGTTAAGATTATTCAAGTAAAATTCTTATCCAATGACTAAAATCATCTCTTCGAGTACACTAATTTCAGTAGAATTGACTCGATGCTCCGGATTCAAATTTCCAGTTATCAGAATCAACAAATTTCCACTTTGTCACGAAGCAAAATTAGCAGAACCTAACGGAACAAACTCCAAAATGAAATTTTTTCACGAAGCGAAGGACAAGTGAGGGAGGTACCGTATGCTTGGCTGCTTGGAGGAGACCAGACTTGTTTCCCCCGTCGGAGAGGCTCGAGCGAACGGCAAGCTGCGGCGGCTTAGCATCGATCCTGTTAGGGAAGGATAGCGCCGAGAGAAAACGAGGTTTCCTCTGATTCGGCAATGCCGCAGAGGCAAATGAAGGAATTGCTGCAGCAGAGGTGGAGGAAGAAGAAGATGATGATGATAATGCCAACGCCATCCTTTACAATTTTTAACAGTATATTTTTTATTCTTACTTTATCGGAAATCGCCAATGGTCATCAAAACGTCAAAGGATGGCGCGACCAGTGTTTTCGGTGGCTCAACTTTACCCAAAAACCCCTATTAATATTTTTTGCTCAACTTTACCCAAAAACCCCTATTAATATTTATGAAAATTTTTGATAGTATTTGTCAGCAATAGTATTTTAGAGTATTTAATTATAGATTAAAATAAAAAAAATTAATTTTATAGTTAATACTCCCTCCGTCCCATAATTATTGTCCAGTTTGAGTTTTTATTTTTAGTTCAAATTATACTAAAAGTAAAACCTCAAACTGGACAATAATTTTAGGACAGAGGGAGTATAAAATTATTTATAATTAAAACATATAAATTTACAAGATAATCAACTTTTATTATTAATAAAATTTGTACTGAGAAATGAATTTCAACATATTTGAGAGATGTAGTTTAAATTTTGTATAAAATAATGGAGGTTCATATTTGAAAAAAATAAAAAAAAAATTTAAATATGATCGTTAGTAATTTGAAGTAAAAAATTTGGGACTAAAATGATAAATTAATTCATGAATAAAAGTTGTAAGTCACTCGGCTTAATATGTGGTCCAATTCCCGGTTCAATCGGTTAAACCGACCAGTCCGAGTCGAGATTAATAACATTGCAATCAGACATTTGGATTACACTTTCAGTCATCTGAAAATCATTTTTATTATTTAGATCATCTAGATGCATTACTAACATAAAACAGAGTTTAACTCCTAAAACAAATTCAATCCAAAAACTATACTACATGACTTTCTTGAGAATTCCCTCCCAAAAATGTATTACTCCCTCCATTTTGAAATATATGTTATTTTAGAATTTTGGGAATTTTTTAAATATATGTTGTTTGCACAAATCGAGACATATTTGACCACTTTTTACCAATATTACCCTTGCAATGGAAATGAAACAGTATTTATAATGAATTTCTACTGGTTTGTGATTAATTGAATGGACAATAAATAAGGGTATTTTTATATTTTAACTTCGTTAATTAATGTTTTCTTGGTTTTAATAATTTCTCTAAAAAGAGATATAAAAAAAATGGAAGGAGTAATAAGTAATCTGATTGCCTATCGTTGCTTTATAAATAAACCTAAAAAAGGGTCAAATTACTTCCCTATAGTTCATGTACCTAATTTATGGTCAAATCATTCCATATCGTTTTCACGTATATTTTTTCAAGTCATAAGATGAAATAAAATCTCAGTATCGAGTCTTGTAATTGTAGCACTGTTGAGTATCCCACATCGGTAGTGGGAGAGACTTAATATTAATATATAAGTGTATGTGCTACTTCCCTCATTGTCAATTGGTTTTGAAGTGGAACCCATGGGCTTCTATATGGTATTAGAGCCAGCCCACCAAAAGTCGGACTCCAAAGCCTGATATAATAAAACTGGTAGGGCTGAGACGTGAGGCGGTGACTGGACTGACAAGTCCAATCCAAAGAAGAGACGTTGGGCTTGCGGGGGAATGAAAAGAGACGTTGGACTTGCGGGGGAATGTGAGTATCCCACATCGGTGGTAGAAGATACTTGATATCAATATATAAATGTATTGGTTACATGATTGGTTTTGAGGAGAGAAATATAAATGGTAGGAGAGACTTGATATCAATATATAAATATATTGGTTACATGCTCCCTTTTACCCTATTAAAGCAGAAGACATGAAGCTTATGTGGCAATTATGTATGCATCTGTTTTGGCTCCAATGCACCATATTTCAGATTTCAAGAGTCTTTTTGCCACGTGTAAGTCTCTTTTAATTTGAAGCTATATAATTCTTTTTTTAAAAAAAAACACATGTTTTTGATGTGACACTTATCCAATGAAAAAATTCTATAAATAAGAATCAGTTACATTTCAAACGAATGGATATATTAATTCAAATTCAAATGTCCAATCGTACAGTTTTGCAGGCTTAATATAAACAAAAAATAAAAAAAACCTAAATCCAGTAATTAAGAATAATGCATTATAAACTAATTATTTATTATTCCCTTATAACCTCAGATTTATAGGTATATTTTTTTAAGCCCCAAACCATAGCATAAATGATATATACGCCAAATTAATTCCTCAAAAAATAGTAATTCAATTAGATTTTAATAAAATAGTAATTTAGAAAGGGCGCCCGGGCATCTGCCTGGGCCAAACATCTAGTTGGTTTTAAGGAGAGACTTGATATCAATATATAAATGTATTGACTACATGATTGGTTTTGAGGTGGAACCCCATCTGCTTCTATAAGCACAAATTTTCGTGTGAAATATTCATGATTTGATGAAATCTATAGTTTTCCATATCATAAGATTTTCATAAAATTGTTACAAAAAATTAATTTTAAGAAAACTAGACGATAGCCAATTGTGTTAAATTGTTAATGATTTCCACAATGTTTGAGAACATTACTCACCGAAATTAATCAACAGTCACGAATATTCTTCATTATTCAGTTTTCATACAATACATAATCAATATTCAAATTTTATGATCTCCTATACATTTCATTCAATTAACATTGACGTTAACTTCATTGAAGTTAGTTGATGGCATTTTTGGGATATTAATCTTGTACATCTGGATACTGTTTAAGAGTTTGTACAGAAATCTACATCATTGAATTTTTTCCTTCTTTTTTTTTTAAAAGAAAAGAGAAAATTAGTTCTCGCCATATGCACATGTTGAAATAGTTTACATATTACAAATTCATGAATTAAAAATTTTTTACGCAGGTGTAAGTTATTTATATTTAAATTATCAATTTTTCAGGATACAAGCTTTATGAAATCTCGTTAAAGATGATGCATGAATCCATTGAAAGAAAAATGCAGTTTGAACTTTAAAGTTCGAATAATTAACCTCTAAAAGCCTCATAATGTGTTAGAGATTCGAATGATTTTTATTTTTTTTAATGTTTCTGTTGAATTAGTTTTCCGGAGAAAAGAACGTTTTTTTCTTCTTCTATAAAAAAAAAAAATTAACAATAACATCATTCATCCTTATACATATATATCCAATTGCATCCGCTCCCTTTATTTAGGTGGGTGGTTTTGGCAAAATTCGAAGGGAAATAAAAAAGGCATTAGTTTATTTAAACTTAATGGTTGAAAAAAAAAAAGAAAAGAAAAAAAAAACCCTCGACGCATCATTGAGAGAGGCCAACGATGAAGAAGAAGAAGAAGCAAGGCATGAGGTCGGCCGAGTCCGCCCACCTCCCGCACGACACAATCACTGAAGTCCTAACAAGACTCCCCGCCAAGTCTCTGTTTCGCTTCAGGTGCGTTTGCAAACTATGGAACTCGACGATTTACGATCCTCAATTCATCGAAAAGCATAGGATTGAATCCCAATTCCGGATTGGAGGCACTTATTTAGTATGTTTCTGGCACTACCGTGATGAGATTATCGTCAATTTCAAAAAACACGGAAGCGGGACATGTACAGTACATATCCCGCCTCCACTACATCTCAAACTGAAAAAGCCCATTGAAGGCGACGCAGTTTTAATTTCCACACCTATGAACGGCTTAGTGTGTTTATACTCTAGAAACGGTGATAGTTGGGACCCCTTGGTTTTAAACATTACTACCCGGGAGATTTTGTACCTTCCCAAACCTACCACAACTAAATATGATTCATTTCATATTGGTTTTGATCACATGACTGGAGATTACAAAGTATTGCATATATGGTATTCGGCCATGTCTTCTACATGGAAAAAAAAATGGGAAGTCTGTACGATTGGGTCGACTGACTCGTGTCCGTGGAGAAAAATTACGGATCCTCCTAAAATCATTCGCCAGGGACGTGGTTTTTCTGACCCTTGTGTCAATGGTACCATGTATTGGCTTTCTTGGGGAGGAGGTATTTATTTCCTCGTCGCTTTTGATGTTGGGAGAGAAGTTTTTCGAACTCTAAAGTTCGCGGAGCCTATAACTCATGTTCATTATCAGCTTGTGTTTGTTTTAAGAGGTTATTTAGCTGTTGGAGTTGGTGGCAATCCATTTGAGATATGGTTGTTGGAGGAAAAAAACAACAACAATAGCAATCAAGTTTTGGTGAAAGAGAAGATTAGTTTCTTAACCACACCTTCCTTGCCATTTCCGCCGATCCAGAACGGGAGTAATTGGGGCATTTTACCAACGGGGGAGACGTTTTTGTTGAGTCCTGCTCAACATTCAAGAACACTTTATGTAATCGATTTAAAGGAAAAGAGAATCACAAAGAAGAGATTCCACTGGTCCCAACCAAGGAAGGGTGGTGATGATAAGCAAGTTGGAAATGTGAATGACTTGTATTCCGAAGAATGTTACAGTCATGAGGAAAACATGTATAGATTCAAGAATCAAGATGATGTTCGGCATCGCCATGGCAGCCTCCTCCACTCCGTCTGAGAAAAATAGTGGTCTTCGCATCGGTTATTTTGGTTTTTATTGCTTGGTGTCATGATAGCACCTTCATTGAATTTATGAATGAATTGTTAAGAAGTTAGGGGTTTTTTTTAATTATTAAATTTGAATAAAAGTAGTTAATTAGTTAGTTTGACGTTTCAGTTTGGTTCATTTCTGTTTTGTTGTTTCTAGTTCTACTTTTCTGTTTTTTTTTTTTTTTTGCATCATTTACTACTATTCTGATTCGTTAATTTGTTTGCGTTGCTATCAGACCGGTGATTGTACCTGATGCCAAAATGTCCCGTTTATAATGCATCATAAATTATGGGTGTTAATAGTATTCTTTCATCCATGCGATCTTGTTGTTTGAGTCTGCATCCGTGGTTCCTGCGTGGGAGATTTTTTTATTTTTTCCCATCGTCACAATCAGAATCTGAAACAGCCATCGAAGTATTGAACGAATATTATCCCAGCATTGTTTTTTTGTTTTCCTGTACAATAAAGAATACAAAACCTATAAAGTTAAGAATTGAACAAATATTATCCCAACATTATTTTTTTACCTGCACAATAAAGAAGACAAAACCTGTAAAGTTAAATTAATACATTTTATGGATAAAAAACACCGAAAAATTATCCCAATGTTGTTGTTAGTACAATATACGAAATACATAACATGATGATGGAAAGTAAGGGTGTCAGAATGGGTTGGGTCCAGGTTGTCGGGTTGGGTTGGACTTAACCCGATAATTTTTTATTTCAACCTGAACTCAACACATTTAATTATACATGTTGAGATATTCAACCTAAATCCAACCTTTTTATTAACCAGGTTACCCGAGTCGACCCATTTAACCGGTATAATTTTTTCAAAAAAAAAAAAAATTAAAAAAATTAATATAAAAAACCAATAAAATTTTGATTTATTATTTATATTTGGATGAAAAAATAGTAACCATTTGAAATTTTAAAAGGATAAGAAAAAAAAAAGAATGTTTATAAATTTTTTAAAAGATTAATCAACGCTCAATTTTATTCTAAAAACTTTTAGATAACATAATATTATACGGGTTAAATGGGTAACCAGTGTATTCCGTAAGGTCAAACCGAACCCTACCTGTTTAATAAACAGATCAAACCAACCCAACCCATTTATTATATGGGTTCAAAATCTCAACCCAAACCCATTTATTTCGTGTTGGTTTCGTGTTAGATTCATGGGTCCAAACCCAAATTGACACTCTAATGGAAGGCCTTCATAATAGTTTTAGATTTTTTCTTGCATCATTAATATTGGACAACGTGTTTTAGATTTTTTCTTGCATCATTAATATTGGACAACGTTGTTACTATTGATGATGGAATATGTAGGGTGTACTGTGAATCCTTCTTAATTTTCTCAGTTTTAATAACAAAATGAACAAGTTAGATAAGCACAACAACAATCAAACCATGACCTCTTGAATCTATCCACGCCAGAAACATCTATCCAATCCAAATCTAGATTAATTTTGTTCATTTGTAGAGGGGGTTTTGTTTGTTGATTTCATTTCTTTTCAATCGCATAATAATAGTCAATGATACTTTTCTAATAGTAGTATTGTGCTCATGCGTTGTGCGGCATATCAATTATAGAAAAGTTTTGATAAATTGATTTTTTTTTTTTTTGAGATAATGAATGTCATTAATTTTAAAATTTCGCTTCTGATTATATGACGATTTAGTTTCTCAAAGCTCGGGAATGTATTAACCCTTGTTTCGTTCGCCGATAAATGTTCGACATCATCGGCGTTTCATACGCACGTAGCGTTATAAACTTATAATTTTTTGTATTTAGGTTCCGTCATGGAAAATATCATTTACTTCCACAGCATATACGATATACAGTTCAGGATAGAAATTGATTGATGGGAACTGATATATCCATATATGAACTAAATGTATAGAATTTCTCAAAAAAGGAGTCATTTGCGTCATAAGCTTTTACTGTTCTTCGGGTACGATTGTAGCAGCATTTTCCGTCTAGTAGGAAATCAAATACAATCGAACTTAAAAGTGAAGGCATCTCCGAAAAAGAAAAATCAAGACTTATTATCACTATACATTTTTTTTTTTAGAAAAAAGAATTTTGTAAATATAGGTATATATATAACAAAAGAGTTTGTAAGAACCTAAAAAAGCATTATATATTTGATTATAAATTTGTAGCTGTATAGAGATTAGTGACTAACCTAGTACAAAGAAAACAGATCTTCATTACGATCCTGGTATATAACTTTACAATTAATATATTGCCATTCCTCTATCCCATTAGATTTTTATTTACTGTGTTTTTTTCAAGGAAAAAAAAACATACACACACAAGAAGAAATTGTGCAATGAGTGAATTTTTAAAATTAATATGGCCAGAACTGAAAGATCTAAAAGGCGGAAAGTTCAACAACTGGAAAATCATAAGCACCTATGGGCATTAAAGTTGCAATGACATTTAAAATTGGAATTTGCAACTTGAAATTTGAAAGGGATAGGGCTTAAAGCATTTTTGTTCGTTAAAATCTTTCAAACCCAGGACATAAAACAAACAGCTGCTCCTAGAGCATCTTCAGAAATAGGAAACCATGATATCGTCTGGCCCAAATTTTCCTAACACCGAATTTAAGGCCTCACACCACAAGCGTCAAACCACAAATACAATGCAAAACTTGTAAACGGATTGAGAGATCGTTTAAAAGTAGAGAGATTTTTTGTAGGAGAGAGAAAAAAAATTAATAGGGACTAAATTTATAAAATATAATAAATTATTTTAAAGTGAGAAAAAAAAGGCAATAAAGACTAATAGTGCAAAAAATAAGAAGAAATGTACTGTGCACTCAATATGACTCACAAGATTATCACTAAAACTAAATAAAATCATAACTGAATACAGTTAAATTTGAATTTTTAGACGTATTGAACATCGTTTCATATAAAGGGAACTTTAGTAGTTGAGTTATAATTAAACTCTTATCTATAGTATGTATATATATATATATATATATATATATATTAAGAGAGAAATCGGAGAGATAAAACTAAATGAATTCTTAAAGGTGCCACATAAGATAAAATCGTACGTGTAATTTTCTAAATTATTCTTCTAGAAATATCTTAGTGTAATTAGGAAAAGGTCCTCCAACTTAAATGAAACAAACTTGCACTCCTTCTTAGGTAGCATTTTAAAATAGAGTGTGCTTTATTACCTTATCATTAAAATATCAATCAAATTAATTTCCATTTATGTAAGTTTTGACATTTTATACATCCACTCACAAATTAAAACAAATCAGTCAATATTAAATACGGAATCAATCAATTATATTCAAATTATAAAAAAGTTATGGCCAAATCAAAGGATAACATAAGTATTTCTCCCTATCCGGTTAAATTAATTTTACTAAATTTGAATTTTAGATAATGATTAATTATCACACTTAATTTTCAAAATAAAATCTTATCTATATCAAAACACGTTTGCCATTCCTCCAAAACTACTTATATAAGGCTCACTTCAGTTATTAATATCTCACTCAAAATTACGACTATACCACGTGTCTGTTTTTTTTTTTTCATCTTTATTTAAATCTTAACATGCTTAGATCAATTTTTTTTTATTTAATGCAACTGTGGAGAGGTGAGGAAAAATCAATAAAACAAGTAAGTAAGAGTTCATCGTTACGAAGATAAATAAAGGTTTGTATTTCTATTATGTCATTTATTAATTTGTTGTATGAATTTAAGAAAGATCGTTTGCATCTACTCGAGTTTTATTGTATTTATAGACTCTAGAGAATTAGTTTATTATATATAATTGATTGAATTTTGATCATATATATTCTATTTTCATGAGAGAATAAACGTGAATTTTTCTGCCCCGCACATCTTGCGGTTATAACATCTTGTTAATTATCTATACTAACAAAATATCTTAAGAAACTACAAATCTAAATTTTTTTAATATATGGTATTCAAAATAAACGATAAGGTCTATTGAGTTTTTGACCAAAAAAATTTTCTTAAAAAAAAGGTAGACCAAATTAATTTTTTTAAAATTTCTGTGGATAAACCTATATCCTCCGGATTTTTAAAATCCGAATTCGGGATAAATTCGGATTTCGGTAATCCGAATTCAATAGAAAACGGATTTTGAAAATCCAAATTCATTTTAATTAAAACTAAAACTAAGTAAATTTTAATCTGGCATAATTAATCAGAATTCGGATTTCTGAAATCCGACTTTATGATTAAAATATTAATTTTTGGGGAAATTTTTTTTTGTACAAGTGTTGGTAATTTTTTGGACACGAATCGGATTTCCGCAATCCGAATCTTCCATGTTTCCCGGATAAACTCGGATTCTAGAAATCCGAGCCTAAACCCTAAACCCTAAATCCGAGTATATGTTACACTCGGATTTTGGTAATCCGAGTATATGTTGCACTCGGATTTTGGTAATCCGTATATAAGTTACACTCGGAGTTTGGTAATCCGAGTATAAATAACACTTGGATTTTGGACACGAATCGGATTTCCGAAATCCGAATCTTCCATTTTTCCCAGATAAACTCGGATTCTAGAAATCCGAACCTAAACCCTAAACCCTAAATCCGAGTATATGTTACACTCGGATTTTGGTAATCCGAGTATATGTTGCACTTGGATTTTGGTAATCCGTATATAGGTTACACTCGGAGTTTGGTAATCCGAGTATAAGTAACACTCGGATTTGGAAAATCCGAAGTTAAACCCTAAACCCTAAACCCTATGGCCTTATTTTGAAAATCTAATTTTTTGCTTGACTCAGATTCTGAAAATGCGATTATTTGCTTAAAAGGTACATAACAGTAGTACAGATAGATTATACTGAATTAATGATAATATTTAATAACTAACATATTTAACAATAATAAATAACAGTAATACCACTAATGTATAATGAGTATTAGTATTAATATACTACATATTAC